CCAGCTAACATTTTTCATGCATTATTTGAAGCAATACTCAGTGTCATGTCTCATGGGTGCACCTGCCTCTTGGAGGCCACCTCTTCATGGGCCTGTGTGTGGCTGGGTCTGCATAACCCTTGGGCTTGCCTGTCCTGAGGCTTACCTGTTTGTCCAGGGACCAACATGCCAGCCACCTTCGGCCACCTGGCGGGTGGCTATGACGCCCAGTACTACGGCTACCTGTGGAGCGAGGTGTTTTCCATGGACATGTTCCACACGCGCTTCAAGCAGGAGGGTGTACTGAGCCCCAAGGTGAGGCTGGACCAGAGCAGGGTGGAACAGGAAAGGGCCCAGGACCCCACGCAGCCTGTACCATCCCTGCTTCGGAAGAGCATCAGCAGACTAGACCCCCAGCTGTTGGCCAGTGCCCCGGCCACGTCCCGGCCTTGGTAGGCCCTTCCTCCCCCTATGATAGGGTGGGGGCTGGGGCCATCCAGACCCACACTGGCCCCCTGCTGTGTCCTGTGCTCTTCAGTGTCCCCGCCCACAGTGCCTGCCACAGCAGCACCCACAGCCTCACCATGGGCTGGAAGGGGTCACACCTGGACCAGTTGTGGGTAGTGGGCAGGCCCTGGGCTTTCCCTGCCCACACCTAGCCCTTGCCTTGTACCCCACAGGTGGGCATGGACTACAGGACCACCATCCTGAGACCGGGTGGTTCCGAGGATGCCAGCGCCATGCTGAAGCTCTTCCTGGGCCGAGAACCCAGGCAAGATGCCTTTCTCCTTAGCAAGGGGCTGCAGGTGGAGGCCAGCGACCAAGCTGCCTGCTGACGCCGGAGCCTCAGCGGCATGTCCGCCCTCTTCCCTGTGCCTTAGCCCCAGCCTGACGAGGGCCACAGGGTGAGCGCCAGCAGCTCCTCGTCTCTGTCCCTGTCCTATCCAGCTCTGGCCCCAGGGGCCAGCTGAGCCTGAGAGAACTCGCCCCAAGGGCCTCGTTCTTGCACTAGCCTCCCTTTGGTGGCACCTGTTATACGAGGTGGCTCTACAAGATATAGCCAGTAAACACTTGAAACACTCCTGGGCTGGTTCTTGGCTCCGGCCCCTCTGTGCGGGACAGTTGTCCTGCCTGCAACCCTAGGCAGCAATTCCCTGGGTGCTCTGGGTTGATGTGTGGGGCCCTGGTGTGGGCCCCTGGGGATGGTGCACTCTAGACCAGGGCTGGGGTCACTGGGAAGGGCCAGTTCTGTCCAGGGGGCCAAATACCAGGGTCACCTGCTCAGGCTGTGCTTCCCTTCCACGTGACAGGCCTGTGATGATCTGTAATGCTCTTCCGAAGGCGCTGGGGCCTCCTGGGACACAGGACTCCCTCAGCCTCAGCAAGCACCTGCCTCGGGTGCCTGTAAGGCCGAGCTCCTGCCAGCATCCGCAGGTTGATCAGAGATGCTGTGTGAGGACCAATACTCCATATCCAGAGACAGGTTGGCAGCTGGGCTGCAGCTGTCAGAAACAGCAAAACCTTGGCCATGGTGGCCAGATAGTGCCTTGTTCCTCCACTGTTTTTTAAAAATACCTCCCATGGTTCTCTGTCTAGTAGTCCTAAAGATTGAACCCAGGGCCTACATGCTGCATTGCATACCTGGCCCTTTGTACTTCTAAGACAGGGTCTGCCTAAGTGGCCCAGATTGGCCTCCCAGAAAGCTGAGGTGGCACATGTGCCACAAGGCCTGGCTGGCAGTGGCATTTTAGGATTGGGAAAATGTCCATAGAAAGGTGCAGGTGCCGTCTCCCTGGGTGCTGAGTCAGCAAGATTCTTTCCCAGCGGAGGTGTGCACTGGCTGGCTGACACCTCCGTGTGGACAGGACTGCTGGAGCTGTGTCGAGCGCTGTTACCAACCAGAGCAATCTGCTGCGGACTCCAGCTATGGGCTTCTCCTTGTACTTGAGACACCTGCCCCTGCTTCCTGATGCTGTTCTGTGACATTAGAGCCTTAATGTCAGGGGGACTGTTTTCAGTTAAGCTGGCAGCTGTGCTAGTGTCAGACTCAGCAGCTGTCACCCTTAAAATACCTGGTGCTCAGAAAAGGAAAGGAGAGGGTGGGTGTTGAGGCACACACCTGAGATTCCAGTGAGGCAGGCAAATAAAAAAAAAATTCCATCCCAAACCCAGCCACTTCGAGACCTTGCCTGGAAGTTGAAATACAGAGGCACCGGGAGTGTATGTAGCTCAGCGCCAAGGCTGTCAGTTCCACTCCTGGTAGGGTCAAAAAGGCAAAACCACTTGAGGGCATCCATCCAGGCCCTCCCTGTAGACAGGCTGAGCCTAGCTGGCTGTTCTGCCTAAAATCTTGAACCTCGTCTCTCTCAGCCCCTTACTTTACTTTCCATTTCTTTTTTGAAAACCATTTGTTAGCATTTTAATGAGCCCCCTGTCCAGAAGCTTCAAAGCTACCAGGACACAGGCCCCCCAACACCCTTTAATCTTCTCCTCAGCTCTTCTGCTGAAGAATTTGACTTTCACGGTGACAGGCTGCTTTGGGAGCTTTCCCTTCCCAAGAACTTTGTAGTAGCCCGATCGCACTACATCAATAATGGGAGCTGCTCCAGTCTTGTTTTTGGCAGCATTTACTCGTGTCTGCTCACTGACCAATGTCCACAATTTATCAAGGTTGAAAGTTGGGCAGAAGCTCTGGTTTCTCTTCAAGTGGTAATGCCTCATACCAACCTTCCCAAAGTAACCTGGGTGATATTTGTCGAAGTTGATCCTGTGATGATGCATGCCACCAGCATTACCCGGCCTCCGGGGTGCTTCCGGTGCTTGCTCATGCGGCCATGGCCGTGGCTCACATGGCCCCGAAGCTTCCGGGTCTTCCTTAGTCTGGAGGGCATGTGGGCGGCAGAGACGAAAGGGCTTTACTTTCCATTTCTTAACTGCAAGCACGAGCCCTTTATATCGCCATCCACCCACTGTCCCCGCAGGGTTCATAGCAGAGGATGCTGCAATACTGGCCGGGTCCAGCAGATGGCAGACCTGGCTGGGCCTCAAATTGTCTTCCGAGTACCTAGTTCTGGTCTCCCAACTCCTGTTCCCCTCTCTTCCTGTTTCCTGCCCACCATGTTGAAAGGTCTTGTTTACTCCTACCTCAGACAAGTGCTTTCTCTACTTTGAACATGACAGTGGTTGCTTTTCTTTTTCCTTTTGCAGTACTGGGGATAGAACCCAGGGCGTTCACATCCCAACCCCACCTTTTTTTCCCACTTCTTTTTTTGTTTGTTTGTTGTTGGTAGAACTGGGGATTGAACTCAGGCCCTTGTGCTTGCCAGGCAAGCGCTTATTCTACTGAACCATCTCCCCAGCCCCCCTTCTTTTTTATTAACTGTTTTGATCCTAGCCACTAGACCACCAGGGAATTGTTAATTATTACCTATTTTGAGACTGGGTCTTATTAAATGGCTATGTTGCCCAGACTGGGCTCAAATTTGTGATCCTGCCTCAGCCTCTCGAGTGCTGGGATTCCAGGTGTTCCCCGCCACTCCCAGCCTCCTTCAATTTAACATTTTGGGGGGCCTGGGAGATAGCTCAGCAGTTTAAGTGCCTGTCTGGCAAGTGCAGGGACCCAGGCTTGAACTCTGATACCGCATGCCGTGCTGGCCCTATGCCAAGCTGGCCACTGAAACCAGGCATGGTGGTGAACACCTGTTACCCCAGTGCTGGGAAGGCTGAAAACAGCAGGATCACTACAAGTCTGAGCTGCATGGTGAGACGAACCAAATAAAAAGGTTTTTGTATTAATTTTTTTAATGTTTTTGGAACCCCCTGTAGGTATATAATTAGGTGAAGGCTGGGTGTGGTAGCGCACACCTATAATCCCAGCACTGCGGTGTGGCTGGGGCAGGAGGATCATTGCGAGTTCAGGATCACTACAAAGTGAGCTCAAGACCAGCCTGAATTGCACAGCAACATCCTGTCAAAAAAATAATAATGATGTTCGCCGGCGAGATAGCTCAGCAAACTAAAGTGCCTGCTTAGGCAGAGTGCAATGGCGGCATGCCGTGCTGGTCCCTCCCCCTGGGGGCACTAAAACAGCAATTGAGATTGGGTACGCCTGTAATCCCAGCTCTTGGGAAGCTGAAAACAGGCGAATCACTATAAGTCTGATCTACGTAGTGAGACCCTGTAGGCCCTGTACTAAATTAAAAAAAAGAAAAATTACAGCCAGTGGTGGCATACACCTGTAATCCCAGCACTCAGGAAGGCTAAAGCAGAAGGATGGTAAATACGAGCCCAGTCTGGGCAATTTTTTTTTTTTTTTTAAGGTATTTAGTACGGAGTCTTACTATGTAGATGAGACTCGCAATGATTCTCCTGTTTTCAGCCTCCCAGGCGCAGGGCTAACACCACCACGCCTAGTCTCAATCACGGCTCAGCGCGCCCCGGGGGCCTGCCGGCACAGCTGGCCAGAGATGGAACTCCAGCCGCTGCGCTCAGCCTGAGCAGGTGCTTTAGTCAGCTGAGCTATCTGGCCGGAACTTACTCTGGGCAATTTAGTGATTTAATGAAATACTTTATCAGTAAAAAAAATAAGGTTTGAAGATGTAGTTTAGTGCCTGTGTTGTCTTCAAGGACCAGTACCAGAAAGAAGAGAAAGAGAGAGGGGAAAAAAAAAAAAAGCAAAAGCAGCTGGCAGATGCTCAACACCGTCTCACTATTCATTAAATGAATACGGATGGACGAATGCGTCATTTCCTGTTTTAAAGCCCACAATTGCGCATGCTCAGTCGCTAGCAAGCGCCGAGGCACGCTTAGTTGGCATAAACCATTTCCACTTACCGTTCCGGGTGAGCAGGCTGGTGGGACTTTTCTTCTAATGGAAAGGCTGGAGTTGTCCTTTCTTTTGCCTAAAGAGGGCCTCTGGACATATGTTTGTATGTGGATTTCAGTTAAGGTTTTGGTCTTGACTGAGGCTTTGGGGCCTTCCGCCGCGGGTTCCTTGACTAAATCCCCCCGCGCTGCAGCACTGGTGCGGTCTGGCCTGGTCACGTGGGCGGCAAGATGGCTTCCTCCAGGAGGCGCTGAGAGCGGCGCGGCTGGTGACACGTAGGTGGCGGTACCGGGAAGGCGGTTTGGGCGTCTCGGGAGCTCCTCAGAAGTGTTCTGGCGGCAGAGGGCGCGGTGGAGACGAGGTTCTTGTGGGCGGCCCTAGGGAGAGCGCCCCCCGCCCCCGTTCCGGGATTCGTTGGCCGGGGGTTTGAGAAGTCCCGAGTCCTGCCAGCATCTTTTCCCCTTGAGTCTCGGGGTTCTCCCATCCCCAGGAATCCCTGGGCTGTCCAGTGGCTTCCTTGTCAGCTTTCGAGAGCCTTATGAGGCACCCAGCGCTAGGGCCTCTATGTAGGAGAGCCTCGTTCCCGGGGTCGGGGAGTGTCCCAGTGGTCCCGAAGAGCCAGTCGTCTCTGAGCCTCGCCCCCCGTCACACGCCATGAGCTATCCCGTGTCGGGGAGATTCCATGCGGTCGGCAAGAGCCTAGTGACAGGACATCTTGGGGTTGGAGATTCTTGATTTAAGTGGTGTGTAGAGCGGGAGAGGTTTGCAGGGTCTTTCATCCATCTTCCACCTCCTTCGTTTTGGTTTTTTACAGTACCGAGGAGTGAATCCGGGCCCTTTGCCCTCAGCTACATCCCTAGCCATATGTATTTCTTATTTTGAGACAGAATCACGCTAGATCTCTTGAGTTGCCTAGGTTGGCTTCAAACTTGGGATCCTCCTGCCTCAGCCTCTGAGTGCTTTGATAACCAGTGTGCGACCCCATGGCCCGCTATCAGAGGTGTCTTGAGAGAGGCCGGGTACACATTGGAGGCCAGCCCTCCCGGGGCCTGCCTGCCTGAGTCAAGAGGATGCTCAGCCCCCTCATTCTTGCATAGCTCTGAAGATGCCCAGGCTGGGTCTGAACTTGCAGTCCTCCCTTAGCCTCCTGGAGTGCTGGGATAATGGGAATGCACTACCATGAGGGGGTGGGACTCCGTGTTCCCAGTGTCCTGCCAGCTACAGCTCACACACTGCTGCCTGCTGTGATCTCTGCTGGTCCTTCCAAGGTGTGGAGTCCATCTGTTAACCACCTGAGGCATATTAAGCCCAGGGAGCCCCCAAGTGCTGCTGGAAAGGAGGCAGGCTGAGGCCTTCATCTCTGAAAAACATCTGCTAGGTTCTCAGCTGCTGTGGAGGTTAGAGAGGGGTCCTTTTTCATGGTACACCATCTCGCTTCACCCAAGCAACAAATCATTTGTGGTTTTGAGTTGTTCTCTGGATCTTCCCACGCCCTTGCTAAGCAAGCCTGCCTCAGTTTCTTTACCTGTAAAATAGGCACAATCCTGATTCCCGTTCCATGAGGTAAAGAAGAATTAATACTAAGGGTTTATCCAAGTGCTTGGGATGTAGCAAAAGACATGAGAAGGTCAGCTTTTATTGTTAAGAGTTTTTGTTCTTATCGAGGGCCTACTGTGTGTGCATGTTTGTTTTTGTGGGTTTTTTTTTTTTAACATTTATTTATTTATTGTGTGTGTGTGTGTGTGTGGCCAGCTCAGCCCACCAGGGGGCGCGGCTGGCTGGCATGTGGTGCTGGGGGATTGAACCGCGGTCCCTGTGCTTTGCCAAGCTTGTTCCATGTAGGTGCTTTAGACCACTGAGCCATCTTGCCAGCCCCCTGTGTGCATGTTTCTATGTGCGTGTTTGTGCTGAGTGCTAGGGGCAAAGTGGTAACCCAGAATAATCTCAGTTCCTGCCTTCAGCGTTCTGGTCTTTTGAGGGGAAAGATGAACCTTAGGTATCTGGGCCAGTAGTGCATACCATCATCCCAGCACTCCAGGAGGCTGAGGGAGGAGGACTGCAAATTCAGACTCAGCCTGGGCATCTTCTGAGCTATGGAAGACTCTAGCTCAGAATTTTAAAAAATATTTTTTTTAAAAGAGCTGAGGAGAGGGGCTGGGGAGATGGCTCAGTGATATAAGCACCTGCCTGGCAAGCACAAGGTCCCGAGTTCAATCTCTGGTACCACCAAATAAATAAAAAAGGGCTGAGAATGTAGCTCAGTGTAAACTACTTGTGATCCATCCCCAGGATGAAATGGGTTGGTCCTGTTTGGAGTCGGAGGGGACAGTTAGTACCAAGGCCTAAATACCTGGAGGTTGGATGACTGGGGTGACATCTAGGGGTTCATCCTTGATGATCCCAGGGCTGCCATGTGGAGAACAGATGAGAGGTCAGGATGGACAGACACGGCAGGGAGTCCAGAGAGGGCAGGCAGCTTGTGGAACGCGGCACAGCCAGTGTGCAAGTCAGAGCTAGGCTCTCGACACAGGTGACCTCCTGGATCCTGTGAACAATCAGAGAGGGCTTCATTTTGCATTTTTAAATGTTTTGTTTTTGAAGTACTGGGGATAGAACCTGAGGCCTTCACTCTGAGCTACATTCCCAGCCCCCTTTAAAATTTTCACAGCCCCAGCTTCTCATTTCAGTGCTGTAAGTTCTTGTACTGCAGGTTTTCCAGGTTTAGCTGCAGAGCACCCATACTGTGGACAGGCGGGCACCATGGTGACGGAGCAGGAGGTGGAAGCCATTGGGCAGACGCTGGTGGACACCCAGCAGCCCCTGCAGGCCCGCTTCCGGGCCCTCTTCACACTGCGTGGGCTCGGTGGCCCCAGCGCCATTGCATGGATCAGCCGGGCCTTCCGGGATGACTCGGCCCTGCTGAAGCATGAACTTGCCTACTGCCTCGGCCAGATGCAGGACCCCCGCGCCATACCTGTGCTGGTGGGTGTGCTGCAGGACACGCGCCAGGAGCCCATGGTGCGCCACGAGGCAGGTGAGTACCCAGCTCCTGCCCTTGCTCACTGGCATCCTAGACACCCTGCCCTTCCACCCTGTGCACAGCCCACGAAGGTGATGATAGTCCTCAGGGCAGCCAACTTGCTCTCCTGTAGAAAGTTGAATAGTAAAGACTGTCGGCTCTGTTTTACAGGCAGCATCTGTTGCAGTGACTCAGAAGTCACTGTCACTGGTACAAGGCTGTGGAAGACTGAGGCAGGAAGACTGGGGGTTTGAGCCCAGTCTGAACACCTAGGGAAACCCTGTCTGAAATACCCAGGCCTCAAGACCTTGACATGTGTCCCTCCCCCTCTTGCTTAAGGCTGTCTTGGTGTACTGACTCCCCTCCCTCATATCCTAGTTTAAAAATCTCCTGCAGAAGGGGCTCCATAAGGGAGTGCAGCTCCTTGTTCCCTGTGGCACCGGCTCCATCCAGAGAGCGCTGTCCAGGGTGAGCTGCTTTGTGGTCACTGCAGCCTTGTGAAGTTCCCAAGCAAGTTGAAGTTCTGCAGAAAGATTCTGATTGGTCACACTTTGGAGTCTGTATGTGTTGCTGCTCCAAGCAGCGATGGCCAGAGGCGGGGTGACAGCTGATTAATGGCTCCATTGAGGTAATGGGCATTCCCTACTCATCTATCCTGAGCTCTGGTTTGTTTTTCTCAGGGGAGGCCCTGGGCGCTATCGGGAACCCGGAGGTTCTGGAGCTCCTGAAGCAGTACTCTGCTGATCCTGTGGTTGAGGTAAAGAGGTCCTTAGCATCCACCTCTGGTTGCCAGGGCAACCACTTAACCCGAACTGTTCCAGGGAGGAGGGGAGCAGTGGGAGGGCATACAGCTCCACAGCACTCTGTCCAAGGGACCTTTGCCAGTTCTCCCTGCCCCTTCCTTCTCCCGTCCCATCTCAGCCTCTCAACCCCTTTAGGGGCCTCCTCCCGCCACATTCTTTCCTCTTTTGGGTTTGAACACTGAGCTGCTCCATCCCCAGCCCTTTACTATATTTTGAGACAGAGTCTTACTGAGTTGCCCAGGCTGGGCAGGAACTTTCGATCCTCCTGCCTCAGCCTCCTGGAGTGTAGGGGTGATGGGCGAGTGCCAGCATATCTCTGGCCAGCTCATGAAGTCAGTCTTTGAAAGTATACACTTAAGCAGATTTTAATGCGTGCCTAATTGTGCAGGCATCCACGCCGCGAGTTACCACCTCAGAAAGAAGCCCTAGCCCCAGGCACACACGAGTGCCCTCCCTGCCCCTTATTGCCTGTCCTGGGTATTTCTTGTCCTTGGAACCCAGGCAGTGTAACCTTCTGTGTCTGGTGTCTCTTACTGTGCGCCCACTCTGGTGAGTGCCACAGCCTCGTCCCAATTCCTGGCCCCAGCACGTGAGTGGAATGTTCTGTGTATCCCAACGGTCCATCTGGGATACTTTCCCTGTATCCTCCTTGGGCCATTAAAATGGTGCCGCTAAGGAGGATCTGTGTGAAGCCGAGACCTGTGGATCTGTTCCCTACTCAGAGCCCTGGTAGCCTTTCATCCCTCCAGGCTGAATCCCAAACCCCTGCGCAGCCTGCCTACCTCTCCACGGTCCTCTCCACCGCTGCCCCCATCCCTGGCTGGGCCTCTGGACCACGGGGGCGGGGCTTCGTCTTGGCCACGCCCCCTCGCCCTGACTTTTCCTGTGTGCTGCCCTGCAGGTGGCTGAGACCTGCCAGCTGGCTGTGCAGCGGCTGGAGTGGCTCCAACAACACCCAGGGGAGCTGGCAACAGCCACGGGTCCCTACCTCTCGGTAGACCCTGCGCCTCCAGCAGAGGAGCGCAACGTAGGGCGGCTGCGGGCGACACTGCTGGATGAGGCCCGGCCTCTCTTCGACCGGTACCGTGCCATGTTTGCGCTGCGCAACACAGGCGGAGAGGAGGCTGCACTAGCGCTAGCCGAGGGTGAGGAAGGGCCTGGGGGAGGGGGTGGTACCGAAGCCCAGCCATGGGCGCTGCATTCTGTCTCCTGCCCCTGCCCCAGCTTCCCCAGCTTCCCCTGACCCCCCTGGGCCCTGGCCCGGCCCACGTGACATGCTCCCTCTCCCTGCAGGCCTGCGCTGCGGCAGCGCCCTCTTCCGCCACGAGGTAGGCTACGTGCTGGGCCAGCTGCAGCACGAGGCCGCAGTGCCCCAGCTGGCCGCCGCCCTAGCCCACTGTGCCGAGAACCCTATGGTACGTCACGAGTGTGCTGAGGCCCTGGGGGCGATTGCCCGGCCCGCCTGCCTGGCTGCGCTGCGGGCGCATGTGGCTGATCCTGAGCGCGTGGTGCGCGAGAGCTGCGAGGTGGCCTTGGACATGTATGAGTACCAGAGCGGGCCGGCCTTCCAGTATGCGGATGGGCTGGAGCGGCTGCGCCCTCTGCCCTAGGCCTGTGGCCGGCCCCACCTACTGTCCCCATCCGGTCCTCAGGGCTCTCTCCCCGGCGGGACTTTGGCACTAAATTGGATCAGTGTAAAGTGGATGTCATCTTCAGCACTGTGCGTGGGCATCAACACCTGCTGGGGGGACAGTTGGGTTGGGGTCTTGCATCCAGATCCCGAGTGGACCAGAAGCACACCAGGGCCCAACCTGAAGCTGTGGAGCAGAAGATTCCAGGCAGCAAGCAGACTGGAAGGGGTTTGAGATTCCCAGTCTGGGATGGTGCATTCTGGTGGTGAGGATGTTGGGGGACTCTAGGAACAGGAATGGGAAGTATTGGGGTGACAGTGGCTCGGGCTTCAGGACTGGGGAACAGGGTTTGGAGGTCCCTTGTGCCCCTAACCCTTTGGGGTTAGGGATGGGGAGGTGGCCTCTGGGTACCTGCGGGCCCCACAGTGCTACCCAGGTGGAATATTAAACTATTTTTGCTGAGCAATGACTGGTCCAAGTGTGCCAGGGTGGGGCTGCCCCTCAGGACCTTTGATACACCTTTTTCTTTAAAAAAGTTTATTTGGTACAGGGTCTCACTACGCAGTTCAGACTTGTAGTGATCCTCCTGTCTCAGCCTCCCCAGCACTGAGGTTATAGGCGTGCACCACCACCATGCACCAGGGGTTTGGGGGCCAGCATGTGGACCAGCGATCGAACCTGGGCCCTTGCACTTGCCAGGCAGGCGCTTAGACTGCTGAGCTATCTCCCCAGTTCTGCTACATCTGTCTAGCCGGGCATTTGGAGCCATAGATGGGCCCCACCAGCTCAGAGCATAGTCTGCTCAGAAAGCCCCCATAAGGGGTCTCCAAGAAAGCATCCCGCCAGTCCAGGTGTCTTCAGACCCTCATAATGCCCCAAATCCTATTGGGTACACAGAGGAAAGGGTTTTATGGTATATTTAAGAGCCCAGGCTATGGTTTTTCATCTGGGTTCCCGCAGTTCCTCCACGTAGGCGGGGACGGGGGTGGGCAGGCTGTTCACAGTCTTGCAGGCAGTCCACAATGGCCCAGGTCCCTACAATAGCATGAGGCGGTCCAAATGTTGAGACCCTGCCAGGGAGAGATTGTGTATGATCCAGACCCAGAGGAAGGCTGCTGCGTTATAAACTTCACCTGCCCAGAGAGCTCCAAGGCTTTGTCTGTCTTGCTCCAGTTCATGCGAGCTGTTGCTCTAAGCTTCCCCATTGGACGTCAGTCTTGTCTGTCTGACCCCTGTTGGCCAATGGATAGAATGGGCGTGACTCCCCAGGGCTGCGCCCCATGGGCAGCAGCGCCTAGACAGTAGGCAGCTTCCCACCTGCAGTGTCACCTGCCACGTGGGTCCTGGACACCATACAGAAGAGGTTGGTACTGCTCTCGCAGGTTGTGCCTCCTAGGCCTGCTCAGGCACCTACCTGGCTCCACCCTCACACCACAGCTTGACCTCCCCGCGGTAGCCTCCAGAGGGCGCCCGTGAGGCCGCCCTGCGTCCCGGGGGCTCTGCGCCGCCGTGCCCTCCCCCTTTCTGCTTTCACCTGTTCCATGGCTAGCTTTCTTCCTCCTAGAACTTCTTTTTTTTTTTTTTTTTTTTTTGCTCCGAATGCCCTCAGGGCTCTTTTGGCTGGCTGGAGTGTTGTGGGGATCGAACTACAGCAACCTGAGGCTGACAGCGTTGTGGAAGCAGCCACTTAAACAACTGAGCTAAGGCCAGGCCCCCCTCCTAGAACTTCTGCTCAAACATCACCTCTGAGAGGTCTTGGCCGCCCTTTTGGAACTCTAGCTCCTCCCCCACTGCCCAGTCAGCATTTTATAGCTAACTGACATTTACTCTAAGGTTCCGTTTTTTCCTTTCATCCGTCTCCCTGCCACGACGCCAGTTACATATGAGCACGGGATTCAGGGCTGATGGGATCACCACTAAAAGGGGTGCGGCGGCAGGAGGCGTTCAGTGCACTTTAGGTGTGGGAATGAACAAACGATTATGGGGAGATCTGGTGGTATCAGGAGCAAAGGCCCTGAGGTCGGGTATATGCGCGGTTGCAGCTGGGGCCCAGCAAGGAAGGAGGCAGTGGGCGGAAGTGATTTGCACCATGCTTAATCCAGGCAGATGGTGTGGGGGGTGCCCCAATCCTCTTGGCTCAAAGCCTCTAATACTTCCGCTGCACGGGTCACCTACGGGCCTCTGCTCAAGACAGCCGCCATGCCAGGCCTGATGGGTGAGGAGACTGAGGGCTGGAGCCCCGGCCCACCCATGTATGAGGAGTACCAGCCGCCCCCGCTGGACGCCATCCGCCTGCCCCGGTATGTGCTCTACCTGCTGATGGCTGCGTTTGTGGTGGTGGCAGTGGCCTATGCCATCGTGGGACACCTCATCAAAGATCTTACACACGACCTGGCCGGTGAGCTCCACTCTCCACAGCCTTGGGCAACAGGGATCTATGGGTCTCTTCTGGGCAGGGAGGGATGGGGCCCTCACACATGTCCTTGCTGCAGACTGGGCTTTTGGCCCTAAGCCAGACCAAGAGGACGCCCCGCGGGAGCTGCGCACCAGCCTGGCCGGCGAGGACCTGGAGGAGTTGGACCTACAGCTGGCCCTGGCCTGGCGGGGCGATGAGGACACCGGCAGGGGTGGCGAGGGGGCCCCCACCGAAGCCCATACCCCAGATCCACGGCACCCCTCCATCACCTTCAGAGACCCGCCGGTCCAGAGCTCCTGGAGGCTGGGCTGAGCTGGGCTCGAGCTGTGTAGACAAACTCTTAGGTTGCAGAGGAGAGCATACGACTTCCCCCCAGCCCTAGCCATGCTGTGGGCAATCTGTAAAGGGACACCAAGACGTTTTCAGAAATTAAGTCATCAACCTTTTCTTTATGGTGCTAGGGATTGATCCCTGGGCCTGTGCCCTGAGCTCTGTCCCCAGCCCCTGTTTGAGATGAGATCGCACCGTGTCACCAAATCACCTAGGGTGGGCTGGAGCTTCCGACCTTCCTGCCTCAGCTTCCCAGAGTGCTGGGATGAGAGGTGTGTGCACCATGCCCAGCTTCCAGCTCTTCCTAAGCCCACAATTGTGTGTGATCTCACCAAGGCCTCCCATGTAGGACTTACCTTACCTGACAGCTGGGGCCTCTGGGGCATGCCACTGTGAAATGATGCCACAGGGGGATTGTCGCAGAGCCACGTTGAGTGGCTCACCTTGGAAGGCAAAAGCTCTGACTGAGGCAGCGTCCTCCATGTGCTCCCCCTATCTTCCCACCCCTACCCAGGCTCTGTGTCTGTGTGTGTGTGTGTTTCTGATGTCCCCAGAGCACGCCTGTTCCAGGGACTCTTCCTTTTGGAGCTTTGCACAGGATGGAGCATAGAGTAAGAGTTTAACAAACGTTTGCCTGACTGAAGTTGGCACTCAGTTTGTCCCAGCTCTGCTCCATGGGGACCCTCACCTCAGAAAGGGAGGGGCCCTGGGTATGCAGCAGGTGCCCCATTAAGATGAGCGTGATGACCTTGGCCTCCCTTGCACGTGGCTGGGCCGTGGCCAGGCTGTGGCTGCTCCATGGCCCAGGGTGGGGCCCCCTCTGCCTGGGAAGGACGCACTAATCAAGCCAGGGACCAAGGTTGAAGACAGCACTGACCAGAGCCTGAGCCATCTCTGCTCAGAAGTGTCCCCAATTCTGTAGCCACACAAGTGTGTTTGGGTTTGGCCTGGACAGCAGCCTGTGGCCCTGTGCCACTGTGTTCCTAAGGCCAGGAGCAGTGGTAGAAGCTGGGGGCCACCAAGGCCTGGCTTCATATCCCGGCTCTGATGGGAGCTGCCTGCCCTGGGCTCCCCTGAGCTCTGTAAAATAAGGTTGGCCTAATAGTGGGGAGAACAGCTGGGCTCCAGCCTATGCCTGTGATGCAATTTGGGAGGCTGAGTCAGGAGACTTTCAAATTCCATCCTGTCCTAGGCATCTAAGCAAGACCTTGTCTCCAAAAAAAGCCCTGAGGGTAGAGCTCTGTGTAGCAGAGCACTGAACTACCAAGTGTAGAACCCTAGGTTCTGTCTCCAGCACCTCTCCATAATTTGGGTTCCCAAGAGAAGGGAACAGAATACTGAAAGTCACTGAGCACAGAGCCCTGGGCACCCTGCAAGCCATCGGGGTTGCTGTGATGGTCTGGTTGGATCTATGAGTCCACGCAGCAGGGTCCGTGGCAGAGGCCGGGAAGGGATACGAGGTGGATGTCAAGGTCACCTCTGCTAGGCCCTCCACAGCAGGGAGCTGGGGGCCTGAGGCCCTTCGGTCCCCCGGGGCGGGCAGGGTGCAGGGTGGAGTCTTGAGGAGGAGTTAATGTTACACCGGGTCCAGAGTCTGCTGGGGGGAGGCCCCGCCTGCTCGGCTCGTCGCCCCTTATGCCCGTGGGCGGGCACCCGGAGCTCATTCACTCCTGGGTGGTGCGGACCTGAACCTGGTGTTGGAGGCCATGAACGCCCGCGGGACGCTGCTCGCGCTGGCAACCTTGTTCCTACCTTCTGTCCAGGCCCAGCAGGGTAAGGGGGTTGCGGGGGTGCTTTCGGGATCGGGTCTGCCATCTCCCCACTTTCCACAACTGAGAAACTGAGCTTTGGGCAAGAGAGCAGGAAAGAGAACCCCCCCATTCCTCCAGGTTCTTCTTGCTTCCTAAGCCCCTCCCCAGCCTGAGCTCTTCCCCTCTGCAGGGGTCTCCACTCTCTTAGCCCCCTTTGGAGTCATGCTTATGGGAGTTGCCTTCCTCACTCAGCTGTTCCCCTCTCTGTCCCCCTTAGGGCTTCCCTTCCCCTGTAAGCCCCGCCTCATTTATAAGCCCCTCCCAGGTCTTCCCTGGCCCCGCCCCATAAGCCCCACCCTCCCACCACCCGTGCTCTTTCTCCTTCGAGGACCACACCTCCAAAGGCCCCGCCCTTTGACCCACCTCCTTTAACCCCTCTCCAAAGCCCCTCCCCTCTCTAGCAAGTCTCTGAGGTCTCCTTCTCTGAGCCTCCCCTAGACCCTCCTTGTCCCTCACCCATTCTGGGGATCCCAGCTGTCCCCTGCTTCTGAGCCCCACACTTGGCAGCCACAGAACGTCGCTGGAAGCCATGGCTGGTGGGCCTGACGGCGGTCGTGGTCTTCCTGTTCATTGTCTTCGTGCTCCTGCTGGCCAACCGCGTCTGGTGCTCCAAAGCCAGGTGGGACCCGCTCCATCGGAAGCCCTGCCCCCACCATGTCCGGCTGCTGCTCACCGCCGGCTCCCTATTGCTCCTGACCTTGTGGTTCCTTTTCTGGTCAACCCTGTTCAAAGTCACCTCTTTTCCCTGCTTCTTAGACCCTGGCCTACACCCGTTCCCCCCCTACCCCTAAGAGTTGGGGAGCCCTTCCCCTGCTTTCTTTGGTGCCAGAGCCCCTGTGTGGGACACTGAGGCCCACCGTTTGCACCGCTCCTGCCCTTCCCTCAGTCTCATGCTCCTCTTTCCATCAGCAGAGCTGAAGATGAGGAGACCGCTATGAGAATGCAGCCCAACCCTTATGAGGACGTAGGCCCGAGGTACTGTCAGTGAGCGTGTGTAGGGATGTGTGTGGGGTCAGCGGCTGAGAGGCTTCCACCCCTGCAGCCAGGAGACTGGGTGGCATAGATGGGCGCCCTTCCGGTGCTGCATCGCACACCTGCCCCCGGACCTGCGCATGCGCTGTTCCCTTCATTACAGCGCCTTTCTCCGCCTCCTGGCTGGCTCCTCCGTTAGTCTCTGCTCAGGAGGTCATTCTCCACAGAGGACCACTGACCTCCTTCCCTGACCACCAGCCCCACATCTTTCTTCTTCACTTTTAGTCATCAGCTGAGGCTCCAAGTCACTCACGGAGGTCACCACTCTAGGTGGTGACTTCTGGTACGCAAGAACCTAGCTTGGCCCCCACACTGTAGGCCCTGGGTACCCACTGGACAAGACCGCGGTGTCGGACCAGCTGTTCTGGCCTCTGTGTCTGCTAAGGATGCGGAGAGGGCTTTGGTGCGGTTGGGGACACTGCAAGCTAGATGGGTGGGGTGGGGTGGGCAGGGACCAGTCTGCCTGGGACTCACGGTGCAGGCTGAGATGTGCAGGGGTTGTGACCCTTAGGGTCGGCTGGCTGTGCTGAGGCCCAGTGAAATGGATTCCTGCTGCCCAGATGAGCTGAGGTCCAGCCTCCACCTGCACCCCCAACTGGGCCTCCTGCCCCTCCCCCATCCACTGCCCCATCCATCCACCCACCTACCCACCCAGCCACCCATTCATCTGTCCATCTTCCCATGCACCCACCCCCACCCATCCCCGGAGCGAGGAGCCGGAATCTCCGCACTGTGAACAGCACTCGCGGCCACCTGGCTCCGACCTGCTCCCGTGAAGCGCTCAGCACAGGTGCGTGTCCGATAAGGAGAAGCGACTTGATGCTGTTACGATGTGGGGCCTCTGTCTCCCTACAGGAAAGGCAGCAAGAAGGAGAAGAAAGAAAAGAAAAAGGAGAAGAGAGGAGAGAGCAATTTGGGCTTGGAGCTGGAAGAAAAAGACCCCGAAGATAATGAGGAGATTAAGACCAGCATGTGAAAGCGTCCTGCCGCCACCCCCGGCAGCCCCGGTAGCAACACACAGTGGGCGACACTCCAAGTTTGAAGACAGTGCAACGATGCAGACGGGGCTTCCCGGACCTTCCCCTGCCTGGTGGTTCTTTTACTCAGCGAGCATCCCGGCTTGGAGAAGCCTCCGGTCCCTGCAACTCATGGCTCTGCCTGTTCGTACCCGTTGCTGATTTATTTTTCCTCTGCCTGATGTCTTTTGGCCAGAACGTGCTTGTCCCATGCAGCATTAGGGCCATATTGGTCAAAAGCTCACCGCAAAGGACCCCAATAAAGAATCAATAAGGCTTCTTTATATTCATGTAGAGTTGTTTTTTTTTTTTTTTTTTTTTTTTTTTTTTTTTTTTTTTTTTTTTTTTTTTTAATTTGGCAGGGGAAGGGAGTTGAAACAGGGCCTCACTATGTAGTTCTGTCTGGCCTTAAACTGGCAGCGATCCTCCTGCCTCAGCTTCCCAAGTGGTGGGATTACAGGTGAGCACGAGTACACTCCACGGGAGCTCTTTGGGGGGCTCTTGTTATCTCGCAGGACCCCTGGGACAGTTGCTTGGGGCTGGACGATGCCTGCGCGGGATGGAGGCTCCCACTTCACAGTGCAGATTGCTCAGCTGGGCACACCTCTCACCCACCATGCTGATCTTGTTTTCTGTCCTGAGTCTTGGACTTTGATCCCCGCCCCGACTTTTTTGGGTCACATGACTGTTCCTGGGGAGGTTGGAGGGTGGGGTGCCCCAGGGTCCTGTCCTATCCGGAAAGACTTTGCTCGGGGCATTAACTACTCCTTAATGAGGACCTTGACTCTAGCTGGGCTTTTGGAATGCCGGGCTTCTCCTCCCAACCCCTAACCCCGCTGGGAAGGCGGAGCTTTGTCTGAGACACCTCCAGGACCGTCCACCAGGGGGCAGAAGAGCCTCAGAGAACAATGATAGGGACCCGGCCAGCGGCAGTGACGCTCTCTCTACAACCGCCCGAGCCAGACATGTTGGTGCTCTCCTGTGACCCTAGGGTCCCTGCGAGTCCGAGACCACCCTGGATTACGTAGCAAGACCATGTCTGGAAAAGAAAAAGAAGGTTTATGAGTCATTGCAAAGCCTAGTGCCCAGCCGCTGGGTCCCACAACCAGTTAGACAGGGAAAAGGACAGACAGACCACGACAGATGGAACCTGGCCAGTCCTGCCTTCTTGAAGCTGTGCCAGGGCCAACCTTGTAAGACATGGCGTCGAGGGCAGGGGAAGGGACCCCAGCCTTGCTGCCCAGCTGCTGCCTGGTCCTGCTCTCCACCCAGGGGCCACCAAAGAATACGTGCCTTTCTTTCTCTTTGTGTTACCCACCTAATGCAGGGAGCCTGTGACAGATGGAACCTCATCCTGTCTGAGCCCCTCCCTTCCTGTCCTGGCTACCTGGCCCTTCAGGTCTCCTGGAGGGAGTTGGGGGATCAGGAATCATCCTTAGGCTTGGAGGCTTGTAGTTAACCTTTGTTTTTTACTTTTCTTTTCTTTTCTTTTCTTTTCTTTTCTTTTCTTTTCTTTCTTTTTAGTAATGGGAACAGAACCTGCATTTGCCAAGCAGGTGCTGTGCCAGTGACCTATATCCCAGGATCTGCAATACTTTTTTATGTATTTGGCACAGGGTCTCACTATGCAGCTTGGGCTCGTAGTGATCCTCCTGTTTTTGGCCTGCTCGGAGCTGGAATTGCAGGTGTGCACCGCCATGCCAGGACTCAGTGGCCGGCACCTGGGGGTGGGGCCGGCGTGGCATGTGGCGCTAGGGATTCAACCCCACCCGGCCCCTGCACTTGCCTAAGCAGGTGCTTAGACTGCTGAGCTCTCCTGCTGGCCCTTTGTGATGTCTTTATGTCACCCATCCCATCCATTCACCCTCAGCCTATTTAGCTACTTGCCCCTTCTTCTCTTGCTTCCCTTCTTCCACCCTTCCATCCATCCCTTTCCACCAAAGCTTCTATCCATTTGTCCATATTTGATCTATCCACCCACTCATGCCTACTCTCCATCCATTCACCTATCCACCACCCACCACTGATCCATCTGCCACCTGCCATCTGTCCGTCCACTGACCCACCCACCCACCACTTACCCTTTCATCCATCCATCTTTCCTCATTCACCTGCCCATCCATTCAACCATCCAGTCATCCACACATCTCCCGCACTTTCATCCACTGGCCTACCCACCCACCCACCATCCATCCATCCATATATACACCTAGCCATCCACCTTTCCCCGGCTGAGCTCTGACTCCAGGTGGCCTCTCCCGCTAGTGCCTCCCCTCCCGCCGCTGAAAGTGCTGGGAGCGGAAGGAGGGGATGTAGCTGCCCCAGCCCCTCTACTGCAGGCTTGGTGTCTAGGCTAGCGCCTCCAGTCTGACCACAAGAGGGCGCCAGAAGCTCGCGGCAGAGGGATGAAGGGCCCACCCATTCCGCGTTGGCGCGGTCGCAGGGAAGGGAGGTGTGGTTCCCGCGCCTCCTATCCTGCTGTCTCCCGCGTCTTCTGTCTGTCCCTGGACAGTGCCCTGTCAGGTGGTCATTGTGTGCCTGAGGCCTGTCAAGGAAGTCTTGCCGGCTCCTTTCCGCCTCAGTTTCCCCATCTGTGGGAAAGAGTAAGATTGTCCCTGCCTTGTGGTTTTGCAGATGGGATGGAAGCAGCACAGAATTTTGCTTGTTGATCCTCAAGCATCTCACAGGTTGCTATGATAAATGGCACAGCAGGCTGGATGGGGGACCCCATCAAAGAGCCCCAAGTTGGGAATGACCCAACCTCACCTTCCTCCTCATCCCCACCCACCCACGCGCCCCTGCACCACACACTCACCTACCCACTGCTCCGTCCACACACTCACCCTGCTGGACTGAGCTATGGCTCTTCTGAGTGGACCAGGGACACTGGGGCAGAGGGTGCTCAGCAGGTGAGCAGTAGGCCTGCTGGGCAGATGGGGACAGGCGTCCTGGAGCCGGCGTGTGGAACCGAAAGAGGCCCTCCCTCCTCTGCCCTAAGCCTGCGTGGCTCCCACTTCCCTCGTGATCCTCCCTGGAGCTCAACAGCCTTGCACGGCTCGCCCATCCTGCTGCCCCAGGGTCTTTGCACAGCCATGCTCTTGCCTAGAACACACTCCTGGCAGATGTTCCGGGAGCTCACAGCCTCCCTTCACTGAGGCCTCCGGCCAGTGCTGCCCCTCCCCCGAGGCCTGCTTCTTGACCTCGTTGCACTATGTGTCTCCCTGGCTCAGTTCCTCACTTTTACTGTCACTGCCCAGCCTGCCTTGACAGAAGTCATCAGCTCCACAGAGAAAGGCCAGCCGGGGCGTCCTCCCTGCATGGGTCTGGTGCACGGATGCTCGCTGGGCCTGTCCTGAGGGGAGGAACTGGAGTTCCCTGGGGTTCCATGGCTGACTGCCCAGTCTGCTGATCCAATATCCTGGGCAGGTGAGGCAGGGAGGGGCCCCGCAGGGAGGCGGCAGAAGAGGAGAGGGAGGGCTCGACTTTGCCCCAGATAATGACAGCAGCCTCTCAGGCTGGGCACTGTGGGGTCCAGCCCAGCCCCGGGCCTCCACTGGCTCCACACCGGGAGCCAACCATCCTGACCCCATACATGTCCCCAAGCCTTGCAGAATGTTTCCAGGGCACCTGTGGTCCTGCACAGCAGCTGTCCAGCACCCCAAGGGTTTCAGGTCCCCAGCCCCTGTCCCTGTGCCCCCAGATGCAGCAGCCACAGCTGGAACGCAGAAAAGAGGACTCGACAGGCCAGAAAGAGTCAAAGCATAGCTTGTTTAATTTTTATACATTTTTCCTTTTTTTTTTTTTTTTTTTTTTTGCCTTTTATTGAATCTTTTATGGAACCCCCTTTGTTCAGGTTGTTTTGTTTTTTGCATAGGGAAACAAAATAACAGCCAGAGCCACTTTCAGTAAATGGTGCTCAGGTAGGCGGCGGCGGCGGCAGCGGTGGTGGTGGTGGTGGTGGTGGTGGCGACGCAACCGAAATGAGTGTGAATACACGTGGCTATGCGTGGGCAAAGCCCTGTCCCCAGTCCCTGTCCCCATCCCCTCCATGGGCAAGGACAGTGGCAAGGGGGAGACCACAGACCCAAGGGCACCTTCTGTACCCCAGGTTCTGAGCCTGGCGTGCGTGTGTGCACGTGTGTGTACATGCATGTGCACGCTGATTCACAGGTCTGTGTCAGCGTGGGCAAGCACGCATGCACATGTGCATGTGTGTGAGCGCAGGCACAAGCCTGTGTGTCCATGTGGGAGCACGTATGCACATGTGTGCGTGCGCGCATGCGTGGTGTGTGTGTGTGTGTGTGTGTGTGTGTGTGTGTGTGTGTGTGTTTCCAGGGTGGGAAGCAAGCAGAAAGCGAGGACACAGAATGCACTATCCTGGTATTATGAGTAAAATACAAAATGGATACAACAACAATCTCAAAAAAAAAATCTCAGGAAAAATGAAAGAATCAACACCCGAAAGTGAAGGAGGGGAAAGAGGCAAAGAGAAAAGCCCCTGCAGAGAGCGAGCTCCGCTCCCTCCCGCTACCTGTCCACGTCTGTCCTGCCTTGAGCCTCAGATCACTGCTTCTCCATGTGCTGGGCTGGGCAGGAAAGCGGGGTGCATGGCTGGGACCCCAGATGTGAAAGGGGCTTTGGTTTCAAAGGGCAGCCTGGCTGGGACTTGTTGATGGGAAGATGGGGTGTAGGTGTGTTTAGGGAGCAGGAGACTGGGGGTGCATGGCTTCCTCCCTCTCTGGAGCACTGATCCACAGTGATCCTTTCTCCTTCCTGTTCCCCTCCTCCTCTTTGACCAGGGTTGGGAGAACCCCAAAACCACACCAGCAGACCTGTGAGGCACTGCTTGGGAAAAGTCTAATTTGGTATCGCGGGCAACAAGTTCCGCTGCGTGGTTTTGATTCTGCCCCCTACTCCCCTGGGGACTCCCTGGGTGCTGGTCTGACCCCCCAACCCTCAGGGAGGTATGGAGGGGGTACCTGTGGGGAGACATTCAGAGGACAGAGGGGGAGGAAGCCAGTAAAGGAGTGGCCTGACCCCCAACCACTCCATGGAAGCAGAGTGAGAGCGGATGGGCCAAGGCAGAGGATGACCACTGTCACCTGCGCCACGAGGAACTGCGTGGTTCTGGGCGTGAAAGTTCACGGAGCACGGCACTGTCCCAGGCAGTCAAGCACCATGGGGCAGCACCCACTGTCTGTGAGTGGCCTGGGTGTCCTTCAGTGGCTAGTGACCCCAGGACCCTGTCTTGCGGGGGACACTGTGGAACACAGGGTGGGAAGCAGGATGCAGGGCAGATGGGGTCTGGTGGTGTCTGCTTGGGGAGCCCTGAGGAGGCTAAGTGACCCCCTGGGCCTGCTCCTTCTCTCAGCTGCCTTTGGAATCTGGGCTCAGCCTGGCTCCAGGCCCTGATGCAGGACCCCGGGAGCCCCTCTTCCCAGCCAAGTACAGCTGTCCCCACATGGGGATAGGGTCCTGCTGATCTGCATCTATCTGCATCTTTCTGGGCCTGAGGTGGCTGGGGACATGGCATGGGTGTGACCCTTCGTGCAGCTTCCCCCTGGGGTGGGAGGTGGGTGGGCGCTGGTGGGCTTGGGAGAAACACGTTTGAAAGGATGTCAGTTTCACACACAGAAAAGAAAGAAACCAGTCTTCTGCCCCTACCCCGGAGGTGGCGCCACCCTGCCCCAAACCTGGGCTGCACGTGGGCCTGGGTTTCTGGAGTTTTTGTCCTGCAGCTGGGACCTGGAAATGAAACTTTCCGAGAGAATGCGAGAGGGGTCCAAGCAGCCAGCATTAAGAGGCTGCCAGGCACAGACCTGCTCTCCAGTCCAAGGAAGTCCCCCCCGGGCACGGGGCACACAGAGGTGACTTGTGGGAAGCAGACCCGAGCTGAGCTATGACTGTGACACCAGGGCCTGCTATGCATCCAGGGGCCTTGCGTGCGCACTGTGGGGGCGGCACCCCACTGACACCCAGCTATTGTCTAAGCTTTGGTCAAGATCAAAGCTAAGGAAGTTGGAACTAAAGAAAGGAAGAAAAAAAAGAACAAGAAAAACTGCAAACAAAGACAACAGCCGGGCTGGCTGGCCACCTGGACAGAAGCCCACGACACGGTGACCAAGCTCAGACAGACATATATTGCATATATGGGGATTTTGTTTTTCATAGCTGGAAGACAAGTACGGGAGTGGGGGGCAAGGGGGCCCCCAGGCTGGTCTCCAGTGATGGATGGGGAGAAGTCAGGTCCTCTGGTGAGGATGGGGTGCACAGGGAGGTACGAAGGGGGTGCTGTGGGGGCGGGGCACACGTTTGACCCCGCCAGCCTGCTTGGGGGTTCGGAGCTCTGGCTGCGGGCAGAGTGGCCGCCCCAAGGTGGGGGACCACCTGGGGTCTCTGCGTGGCATCTAGGGGTGCCCTGGGCCCAGGGACATCAGAAAGCCTCACCGACCCAGGGCCAGGGCTTGCCCCCAGGCCTGATCCCGGGGTCCCAGAGCTGGGGCTGGGGATAGCGGCGATGAGCACCAGGGAACGGCCACGCCCCACGCAGGCAGAGCCAGGGCCACGATGGGCGAGGGGGGCCAACCGCAGGGGCAGGGATTGTTTTGTGGCTTACTTCATAGCAGTTTTCATGTTTTTTAAAAAATTTCATTTTCTTATTTATTTATTTTTTTTCTTACAAATAGAAATACATCCCTTTTCGATTTTTATTTTTTACGTCATTGTTTTCTTTCTTTTGCTTAACTACACGTGCATTTCATGCAACTGTGCGGATATTGTTTAAAGGTAATAATACTTATTCTCCAAGGCAAGGCACGTCATGTGGTAGAAAATTTCGTGCAAATTAGGAAAAAAATGGAAATTTTCTTAAAGGAATTTTTTTTGTATTTTTTTTTAAGAGGAGGGGGCGGGAGGGGCGGCAGGAGGGAGTAGAGCCAGGTATAATCTGCCATGCAGGCCACCAGCTGTGGAGGCTGGGGCAGGAGCCGGGTCGCCGGGCCCTAAGCACCATGCAAAGTTAGGTAAAGAGTTGGTTCTCATTGCGCCCTGACCCCGCGGTGGGGCCCGGCTGGGGGGCTGCCAGGTGCACCCCGGGGGCGGCCCCCCTCCGCCTCCCCCCGCCCTGGCTGAGAAGCTGCCAGATGCCCAGGAGTCAGCACAACCTTCAGTACCCCCGCCTCCCGGACAGGACATGGTCCGCCCTTTGCTCTCCCAGGGCCGCCTGGTGGAGAGCCCTGAGGACGGACGGATGGACAGACAGACGGACCAAGGGTTGCAGACTCCATTGGGTCACAGGGGCAGGAAGGGGACCGGCGGGGTCTGGGTCCTTCTGTTTTCTGGCCGACTGGGTGTGCCGAGGCCCTGCGGCTGGTTTGGGAGGAGAGTCTGGGGCACAGGACGGACGGGAGGGCGGGCTGGGGCGGATGAGATGGGGCCCCCTGCCCTGGTCAATGGCTTTGGCCTTGGATGGGGGATTGTGGGGGGTTATTCCCTAGCGCCAGGCATAATGGAGGTCAGTGGAGGCTGGGCTGGGTGGGCCGGGCAGAGGTCCCGTGTCTGACACACAGACCTCCCTTCCTGGCACCTGCTCCCAAAAATGTTCATCCCTGGGGCGATGGGTGCAGATGGGGCTGGGGCGGAGCCGGGGTCAGGGGGCACCCGGCACCTCCAGCTTAGTGTTTTTGGAGCGGCTCAACGGAAAACCTTTAGCAGATGGGCAGCTCCCCCGCTGGCCAACCCCCAGGAGCCCTGTACAGGGTCCGAGTGGGCCCTGCCTTGGACTGGCCTCCTCCCCATCTGGGGGGCCTGGCTATGACACAGCCCCTTCCACCGTGCCCCACTTGGGGGATGAAAGTGCAAACAGCGCCCCCCCCCCCAGACAGCGGGAGGCACAGGGAGGGGGCTTCTCTCCAGGATGTAAGGCACTGGCGGGGGACGGGGGAGGCAAAGGAGGGGACGCCCCCGGAACCTGCCCCCAGCACTGCCCCCTGGGGGAGGGGTCCCTTCTCTCTAGCTTGGAGGGGGCTCGGAGGTGGGGTGGCGGAAGGGGGCATGAGGATGTCCTCGCAGCCGCTTAGGTCCCAACTGGACCGAGGGAGGGGGGCGGGCAGAGGGGAATCAGGCACTTAAACCACTTGCTGTCACCTGCCAGTCCAGTCGGCACCCCACCTCCCAGACAGCGCCCCCCCTCCTCGGAAAGTGCATTGCGGAGAGTGTGCAACCAGGGGGGGAGGTGGGGAGGGGCGGCAGGGTAGCCTCGATGCCGATGCCGGGATGGGGCTGGGGGTCAAATTGCATAGACATCTCCTCCCAAAGGGGGTGGGCAGCAGAAGGCCCCCCCCCATTGGGGTCCCCAGCGCTGGAGAGAGCAAGAGCGAGTCCTTCGGTAAGACTGCAGGACCCCTACACCTGGTGTCCCAAAGTACCTGCAAGGCTGGGTCCTTTTTTGTTGAGGACGGCACCGGGTCCCAACAATTTATCTTTGCTGCCCTTTGCTGCCCGTCCTGCCCAACTCGAGGTCTCTGTGGCCTGAGGCCTGTGTCCTCGCTGTCCGTGGGACCTGCCAGCCAGCACCTGCCTCCCCCTTTGGCAAACACCGTCCGTGGGGGGCTGTCCCCATCCATCTGGTCTCACCTGGTCTCCGGATAGCGTGGGGTCCCAGGCATCGGGCGGGCGGGTGGCAAGGAGCTGAGTCTTGGGCCGTGCCCCTATCGTGTGGTGTCCCAAGGGGTGGCGGGGCCAGGTCTTCCAGTTCTGTGGCCATTGCGTCCTTAGAGCTGGAAACCGTGCGGTCTTTACCTTTTGTCTTCTGGGTAGGGTGGGTTGTTTTTTTGTTTTTTTTTTTCTGTTTGTCTTTTTTTTTTTTTTTCTTTTTTTCTTTTTCCCCCTTTTCTCTTCCTCGTGCATAGGTCTGTGTAGTCCGTCTTTGCAGCCAGGCTGGGAGCCAGCAGGGTGGTCTTTTGCTCGCTCTGATTTTCTACCGAAAACATGGGCCGGGGGAGGGGGCTGGCAGCACTGCCCCAAGATGCCCAGGCTGATGGAGGAGAGGCGTGCGGTCCCGCAGAGACCTGGGCTACCCCAGATACCAGGACTGGCGACCGAGGGGACAGGGAGAGAGAAAGGAGGGGTGGGCGTCAGGTTGGACCGTTGACTGAGGGATCTCCACACCACCCGCCTCCTCCTGCCCTACGACCTCAGTTTCCCCTGTCCTGTGAGCAGCTATGTGACTCTGGCCACACGGCCTTGGCTCAGGACAAGCCTGTGGTTAAAACTCAGGCCGCCCAGCCTAAGCAGAACCTGCACAGCTTGGAGAACAGATTCTCCACACCACGCAGTCGAGTCTGTCCAGTTCTGCAGGGTGAGCTGACAGTAGGTGCATCCCACGCAACTTCAGGGGCTCAGGACCCTCTATGGAGCTTCAGGGGTCTGCGTATGTGCTTGACACAAGTATGCCGGTACAGTTTTGGAAATACACTAACAGTAAACCTGCTCAGTATATCTGAAATCAGAACTGCACTGTTCCGCATTTTCATTCTGTGATTCCGGCAACCCAGCCTCGGCACCTCTTTGTCCTGCATATAAAGTCGGGGTGGGGAAAGGTTTTGGGAGAAGAGGATGCGGGCCAACCCCTCACCCTCTTGTAGGACCCACCTCATCCTGGTGCTGTAAGCAGAGCCAGCTTCAATCCTTCCCCAGGTCACAGCCCCCACAAGCCCCCTCCAGGAGGGAGACCAGGTCTCATCCTCCTCGTCTCCTGGTCCTGATGAACACAGGACACGGAGGTGTTGGGCAACTTGCCATGGGGTGACCAGCATGGAAGTGGCATAGGAGAGATTTGAACTCTGGTCTGCTGGGCTCAGGATCTGGTGTTTGCAGCCAGCATCCCCCTCAGGACGCCTGGAGCAGTGTCTGGGAGAACCACCCAGTCAGAGGCTCCCTACAGGCACTTAACAGCACAACCCGGCTCCTCTGCATCCTATGTACAGAGAGGACTGGGAAGCTGGCAGAGCATCTTAGGGATCCAGCCCTGGAGCACCCAGTCAGTCTAGGGGCTGGGGGGTGGGGAGCTCCCTCAGGCCTGGGAACCTCACTCCCTCACCTGCCCAGGCTGGTTGTGCCCATCCTGAGCCCCCTGCATCCAGGCTGCTCGGTCATTCTCTGGAGCTGGCGCCACTGTGCTCCCAGCCCCCCACCTACAGCCAAGTTCAAGTTCATCTCGGCCATTACCTCATGTCTGGTTTCCCTTGGCAACCAGACAGGCTCTGGGTGTGACCCTCCTGGTGGACGGAGCCTCCCTGGCCTTTCCTCCCTCCCCTGCACTCCTGGGGCAGCTGTCTGCCCAGCTCCCACCCCAGGGTCGGGGAGCAGTGGGCACTCTCATCCCACCTGGTGGGTGAGGAGGCATACCGTGGGGCTGGCTGGGAACTCGGGGATCCCGGAGTGCTTCACTGGCCAGACTAGCTTGAACCCCAGCTTTGCAACCCTCCACTGCCTGGGAGGGTAGCGGGGTCGCTGTGTGCTGTGTGGGGCGCAGCTGTAGAACACTGTGGGGGCGCAGGACCACACTGGGGCGGTAGGGGCGGAACCCACCTGGGGGGCAACTGGTATCACCCAGGGAGCCGGCCAGAGGCGGGGGAGGGGCAGCACCAGCGAACAGAGGTCTAAGTCAGGGCATCGATCTGCAGGAGGGGCTTCCATCGAGCGGATTTCTGATCAGGGCGCGCCATGGACGGGGGCCCTGCGGGGGCTCAGGCACTGGGGAAGCCAGCATAGCTGGCAGGCTGGGGCGTGGGGAGGAGGGGATCGGGAAGCCAGGCCGCCAGGAATAATAACATTGAGCCTCACGGAAGTGCTGACTGCGCTGGAATCGGCGGCACAGCGCGGGGTCTGCGCTCTCACGCCCCCCTCCTCCTCACTCTCCCGCCCATCTGCGGGAGGGCAGCGTGGAGGGCAGCCCAACGCTGTCGCCACCAGGGTCCTCCCCTCCCTGGACACCCGCTGTGGGGACCTCTCCCTCCACCATCTGCTACCTCCCTTCCTGCCCCAGCAAGGTCTTCCCATCCCACTCCCTCATTCTAAATCCATCCATGGCTCCTTACTGCCCCCCAGGAAAGCCGAGCCATCGGTGCCAGCTGGGAGCTCCCACACTCAAGCCCCTCAGCTGTGCCTACAATGAGCCCCCTGCCCAGACACCCCAACTCCCTTCCATTGGCCACCAGCAGTGACCCTGGCTCTAGCTGCCTGGGGAGGGCAGCTGGGAATCTACAGAGGCCGACCCTGGGGGAGGCTGGGCTCCCTCTTCCCCTTTTATCAGCTTTTGTTTCCGAAGCAGGGACATTCCCAGTCTCCTCTGGTTGGGGACAAGAGGGGGACACAGGGCTCTGTCTGTGCTGTGGGGAGTTCAGGGGGCTTCCTGGGAGGAGCCTGAGCCAGAAGAGACAGAAGCTCTGAGAGGGTGAGGCGGAGCCTGGCTGGAGCCCTGGTCTCCAGGGACCCCTGTAACCACTCGCCTCCCCTCCCACTTCCTGCTTCCACCCTGGCTGGATCCTTGGAAAAGAGGGGTAGAGGCTGGCTTTGGCCAGGGACTCCCCAGGACCCAGGACAGACCAGGGCTCCCAACACTGAGTTGAGTGCTGGCAGCTATTAGGAACTCACTTTTCTCTGAGCCGCCTGCCTGCCTCTGGGTGGGCTGGTCCCCCCTCTAGTGCACACCTCTCTTGTTATGTCGCCTGTCCAGGCACTGTCCCCACCTGCCCCACTGCTCTAGCAAGGATGGGGGTGTGGAAGGGGGCAGAAGCTGGGTGGGGTAAAGGTCCTAGCTGGCGGGCTGTGTGACCACGGGCAGAGCCGCGCCCTCTCTGGGCCAAGATTGCCCCATCTGTACAAAGTGCTCCCCAGCTCTGCCGCTAGGATAGTGCTGGGCATGGGCTGTGCCTGGGGATGCTGGCCCCTCTGCCCTGCCCCCCGCCGCCCGCCAGCCGGCCTCTCGGCCCCTACCTGTGCCTGATAAATGCCCGAAGGATCCCTTGGTCCTAATCCCACAAAGGAACGGTTTGCAGGGGGCGTGTCGGGCGGAGCGCAGGCTGCAGGGAGAGAGACCAGAGCCCGTTAGCAAGGGGGCCGGCCGGGCCCAGGAGGGTACCCACTGCCCGGGGTCACACAGCCAGCCCGAAGCACCCGGCTCCTGTGGCCTCCGAACCTACTGCCCTCTCTCTGGGGAGCTTGCCAGGGGATCCTGCCTCGGGGGTGGCGGGTACAGGGAGGTGGCGGGGTGGGGGAAAGCAGAGAATGAACGATTCATAACTCAAAACCCGCCATGAATTATTCAGTGCATTCTGCTGCTGACCGGGCTGCATCCCGCACCGGGCGCCCTAAATTATTGAGGGCGTTTATTTATTAATTTTCCTCCTGGAAAGCCCTGGGCAGGCTGGGCCTGCACATCCACTGCCTGCATCTCAGCCTCACCTGTCGTGCTTGGCCGTAACTGAGTAACTCGGAGCCCAGGGCCATGCAGGGCTGGGAGAGTCAGGGACCCTGGTGGTGGCCACAGAGTGCTGGGGTACTGACGGGGTGGGCACCCACGGGCCAGCGTGGGTTTGTGGTCCAGAGCCCCGGGTAGGGGCAGGGCTGGGGATCTATGTTCTGCATCGGCGCTGGGTGAAATTCATCATTTTAGTTTACTGTTCATGGGGCTCAGGTCAGAACCAGGGCTCGTGGGCGCCAGGCAAGTGCCCCCCATGGAGCCACACTGACCCCAAGCCTTCACGCTCCTCCACCCCAGGCCCTACTGTCCCATCTACAGACATATAAGCATGGAGAGTCAGCGAGAGCTGGGGGCAGCACGTGGCCTCGCTCTGCCCAGGTGATGCCACCCACGGTCCCCTGTGGCTCTGCTGGGCGGGTGCTGACTCAGGGGCCCAGGCCACAAGACTGAGCCTCAGAAAGGGAAGGAAGGTGTTTGCCTGAGGCGCATGGACCAGCGCCGCTTTGGGGAATTCTGGGGTTCAGGGAGAGCCATGCTGCAGAGCTACCCTGCAGGCTGGGCGGGGGCAGCCAGAGGAGGGGACAGGACCCTCTAACCCCCAGGACAGAGCCCAGAACCTGAATCCCTGGAGCCTCCGCAGTCCAAAGGGGGAGTTGGGAGCTGACACCAACGGCATACGTGGTGTCACCTGCAGCGTGGCCCAGCTCAGGTGCTCTAAAGGAACAGGGCTCTGTGAGACCTGTTTTCCTCCCCAGGAATCTAAAACTAAGTAGTTCGTATGGGAAATACCACTGTTTTAAAATGTCACCAAGGTCTCATTTGTCAGAGACAAAAGCTTTCTGGGGACCAGGGTGGGCTCCTGGACAGCCTGCTGGAGACCTGGGTGCTTCTGTTTCACAGTGCTGGGGGTTTTCACACTGAGTTACTGCACGCCCAGCCCTTTTTGAAAAATTTGCAGCAGAGTCTGCCTAAGTCACTAAGCTGCCCGGTAGGCACTTGCCAAGCCCTTGCCTCTGGGCCCCAGAATGCTGGGGCATCAGGTGCGCTGGGCCAGGTGCTCATGCCGGAGGGGGGCTTCTAGAGACCCAGGACAGCGTGGGGCAGGGGACAGCTCAGCACTGGCACCCTGGCTGCAGTGTGGGCCTGCCATCCCGAGGCTCCCTGGCCCCGTGGATCCCCGATATTCTCGACCCGAGTTCACCCGCGCCCACAGGACTGGGCAGCAGGGCGGGGAGGGCCCGGGGACAGGGGCACGCTGGCTCCCGCGTGCTTACTGGGCGAGATCTGCGGTGTGGCTCGTCGCTGGGAGGTGGCAGTGGGTTTGGTAGCCGGGGACAGCGCCAGGGGCGGAGGGGCCAGCATCGAGGTGGGGACGCAGTAACTGGACATTTTGAGCTGGCCACTTCCGTTTAACTGAGGGGGGACAGAGAGACATGTGGTTAAGGGGGTGGGCGGCCCCTCCACCTCAGGATGCTGGCACCGACGTCCCGAGCTCTGTGCACGTGGCCTGAGGCCCGAGACTGGCCTGGTGGCAGTGCCTGCGGATGACCTCGCCCGTGTTGCTGAGACCGCCGGCACTGCTGGGGTCACACATACCTCTCCTTAAGCCACCTGCGCACGGACCTGCTTTTCTCCTAAGCGATGTCACCTTGTACCAAGCCACAACACGAGGTGTCTTCCTAAGGAGCTCCGAGGACAGTTGGCCGTGAGTGACCTTGGCCAGTGTTTCAAGTTCAAAAGATCTTTGAATACCAAAGTCTTTTTTTTTCCCCCAAAAGACTCTTCAGGAAAGCTGGGCTCACCAGGCTTGGCCTGAGCCTAGCTGCGTTTCTCCTTTCTGTCTGCCTGCCTCCTTGTCCCCTTTCCTTTTTCAGTACTGGGGAACTGAACCCAGGGCTTTCACCTGAGCTCCATCCCAACCCTCTTTTAAGTTTTTTGAGACAGGGCCTTGAGAAGTTACAAGTGGCCCGAGTTGGGCTTGCACTTGCAATCCTCCTGCCTCAGCCTCCCAGAGCACTGGCAGGACAGGTGGGTGTCATACCCAGCATGGCTGCTCTTCTTGGCCAGTCCCTACTGTCCCATGAAGCTTGTGTTCTGCACCACTGGACTATATGAGGTCCATGGGGGGGCTGGCAGGGCCCTGCTGTACCCTATATGCCATCAAGCCCAACATCTGGCGAAGTTTAAAATCCCCTGCTCCAAACCAGCGAACTCCAGACCTGAACTCAAAAACCCAGCTCCAGTAGATGTCCTGCATTTCAGCATGGCTGAACGACGCACAGCGGTCCCCAGGGTTTCCTGGGGCCACCGAAAGGCCTGAGCCCCATCTGTTCACTCACCGGTCCAGGCTGCTGGCTGGCTGGGTCGCAGGCGAGCGAGACAAGATCTTTGAGCGGGTCCTGGGGGTTGAGGTGGGGAGGGTAGCGGATGGCCGTGTGCGGGAAGTAGGTGGAGGCCGTCTGGGGCAGGATGGAGGTTGTAGGGAAGTGGAGGGCTGAGGATGGGTGGGGGCTCCGGGCGATTCCTGCAAAGAGGGTGGAAGGCAGTTGTCACTGGGGGGCCCTGAGGCCCCACAGCTGGGTTCACGCCTGCATCAGTCACGGCCACCTGGGCGCTCTCACTTCACTCCCATCCTTTAAATTTCTGCAGCCCTGGGGGTGGAACCCAAGGTCCTCACCCTGTGCTACAACCCTGGCCCTTTTTAAAGTTTGGGACAAGGTCTCACCAAGGTGCTAAGCTGCTCAAGCTGGGCTCAAACTTGTGATCTTCCTGCTTTAGCCTCCTGAGTGCTGGGATTACCAGCATGTGCCACCATGCCTGGCACTCTTTTTTTTTTTAACAGAGAAAGACAAGGCAGCCCACAAAAGATATGTCACCTGGCAGAGGCCACAGCAAGTGGGTGGCAGACCCAGGGCTTGGTTAACAGTCCAAAGCCAGTGAATCTGGCTCTAGTATCCCGGTCTTCCATTTCTTCTTCTGTGAGCAGGGCTGATAAATGTCCCAGGCAGGGAGCTAGCCAGGTTCCAGGAGTCTTGGGCCTCCCATGGGGGTGGTTCTCCTTTAGGAGGAGACAGGCACGGGAACAGTGAGAATCAACAGCCTGTCTCAGAGGTGGGAGTTGGCAAATGAGGACTTTGGCTGGTTGTTCAATAAAGTTTTATTGGCACACAGCCTGACACCTGTGTGTGTAACCTCTGGCTACTTCTGCACAGAGGGTAGATTGGTTAACAGTTCAAAGCCAAAAATATGTACTGTGGTCAGAGGCCAGGGACAGAGGAGGCAGGGCATGCACACTGCAGAGTAAATATTGTGACGGCTGCTGAACTGGTCAGGAAAAGGAAAACCAATGCCACCATAGAATATTACTCAGCCAGGAAAAAGGCCTGACACTGGCTGCAGTGTGGGCAGACCGCAAGGACACTGTGTTCAGTGAGAGGACACAGTGTGGGCTTCATAGACAGGAAATGCCCAGGACAGCCGAATCCAGAGACAGGAAGTGGACCCAGCGTGGGGACAGGTGACTGCTCATGAGACAGACAGAGCTTCCTTATTTTTTTTTTTTTTTTGCGAAACTGGGAATTGAACTCAGGCCCTTGCGCTTGCCAGGGAAGCGCTTATTCCACTGAGCCATCTCCCTGGCCCCAAGGGCTTCCTTTTTGAGTGATGGGATGTTCTGGAATTAGATGTGGAGGCACAGCTTGTAAAAGTACTAAGTACCAATGAAGTACCTAAAGAAGAACCGCCCCCACGGGAGGCCCAAGACTCCTGGGACCCTTAGCAGCCCTGCTGGCAGAAGAAGAAATGGAGGGCCAGGTGCATGGTGACCCGGTGCTGCTAGAGTCTCTTCATCCTCCTGAACCTACAGAGACCTTGTGTCCGTCCTGCAGAGGTGGCAGTGCTTGGGCTCTCAGCCACATGCCCAGGGGGACCTCCCCGGTCACGAGACGGAAGGGGCATGACCCTCACCGCTGTGCACGGCGATGACAGGCCGGTGGTGCTGGGTGAAGCTGGAGAGGCGGGGTGAGTCCTGGGGGGATGGGCTGTTGAACGGGGACTTGTCCATCTCTGTCTTCTTCACCGGGGAGGACATACCTAGGGGAGGGCACAAGGGAGTCACAGGCAGCCGTGTTCCCAGGGTCCCCAGGGCCACCTTGAGAGTCAGCACCAACATGCTGGTGAGGCCATTCTGCCTCCCACAGCCCCAGAGCCCACAGGTGGGCAGGGAGCCCATTTCACAAAAGAGCAAACTGAGGCCTGCAGAGGATGTGGTACGGCCCTGGGCCGGGTAATTGGTTACTGACAGGGGCCCCTGCATGTCCCAGGGGAAGCCGGTGAGCTCAGGGCCTGGTCCACCGCACCCTCACCCCATGATTCCAGCGTGGCTTGCTGTGCCCATGGGAGCCTCCCTACCTGCCCCGCTGCCCCTGAAGAGGCCTGGACCCAGAGAACAAATGAATGAAAAGGTGCCCAAGAGACGCAGGTGGGCACATTGCCCCACTCCTATCTGGTGCAGTACAGGAACGTGCGCTGGGCACAGTGACCCAGGACTGCCAGCTGTCACCCTGTCAGTGACACCCATGCTGCCAGATGCTGGGGCACTGGCATTTCCCAGGGGGTTCTGCTGCAACCAGGTTGTAGTGACTGGGGCTGGCACAGAAGATTTGGGGTCCCCGAGCATCTTCACCTCCTCCCTTGAAAGTTAATCCAGAACCCAGCTGGGGGCCCTGAGGCAGGGGCGGCTGGGGGCTGCCTGGGTGCAGTGACACTGCAGGCCCTCAGTATCTCCGTGGGCCCATCTGTGAAGTGGGCATCTTGGGACCCACAGAAGCTGGCATGGCACAGTGCCCAGCGGTGGCCAGGGTGCAGCCCATGCTTCCCACCGAGCTCAACATCCTAGGGTGGGGCACACAAGGCCTGGGGACACCTGCATGCCTGCCTGCCCCCCAGCACCCAAGACCAAAATGATTTTTAACATTGGTTTTCAACTATGGCAACTGAATTTTTCTCTACTTGTCTGAAATTCTTAAAGGTTCTCCCTTGGGTCTTGGAGTCTGGGGGTGTCATCCACTGGGGCATTCTGGGCACTCCAGGATGCTGAGCTGTGGCCCTGGCCTCTGCAGGCTGAAGGGCAGGAGCTCCCCTGGTGTGATAACCACTGATGTCCCCAGACATGGCCCAGTGTCCTGTGGGGCGCCCCGCTGCTTCCGCCTCCCTCTCCCTTCTCCCCTACCCTGGCTTCCTGTCTAGACAGCCCCCAATTAGCCGCTCATTACAGCCACTAAGCTGATTAGTCGGCTCCTCCTGACTCGGCCCTGGGTCTGCTCCTGGCAGCCCAGAGAACGCCCTGCCGCAGTGGCCGCCCTGGCTGGGCCCTCAGCCTCAGCACCCCTTCGGCCACCTGGTGCAGCCTCAGGGACCTCCAGGCCTCTGGGAACCTGTGTGTAGCGTGGGTGCCACATTTCTCCTCTCAAGCCTGTTCCTCAACCTCATACAGGATGACTCCGCTGACCCTTGCACAGTGAGCTGGTGACCCTGGCCATGCCAGTGGGGACAGATATAGGGGCAGAAAGGGGAAGCCCCAGACCTCAAGGCTCAGCCATTTGCTGTGAGACCTCGGCACCTTCCGCCATCTATCCTCTGCCGAGTGGCCTCAGCAAGGGTGAGGTGGTGGAGGGGACTCCTGGGGACAGGCCACCTGTGTCTCAGCAAGGACACCTGCTATGCAGGGATGGCCAGGAGGGGGCAATGTCACCTCTCTGAGCCTTGGGGTTCCCCTTTGCAAACTGAGGTGCTCTTTAGATGCCCATTAATGATGGGGCAGAAACCGTCACCTAGTATCTACTTAGTGGCAGAATCCTTGCTTTTGAGACAGCCACTGACAGCATAGAGTAAGACAACATTCCCCCAGCATCCATCAGAGCCGACTACGCTACCAGCTCCTGGGCACAGAGACAAACAGAGGAGGCAAATGCCACTTCTGAGAATAATCTTGAAAGGAAGAAGGGGATACTTGACACCTTCCTTCTCCCAACCCATTTTCTTTTGGCTGGATGAAGTGTAGACATGATGGCAATCATGTTGGGCCATGAGGTGGGAATAAAGTACGTATCTGGCAGAACGTAAGGCAGGCGCCTCAAGCCCTCATACCATACTTCCCAGGGCTGCTAACCCCTGGACATGTACCCATAATGGGAAAGAACGTGTTGGCCTTTAAGCTATACGTCTCAAAAATCCTACATAATTCCCACATGAGCTTATTAGGGGAGTACTTCAGGGACGAATTTCTCCAATTCGTAGGTGAGGAAATTAAGATTCAGGGAGGGTATAGTGGGGTCACCAGGCAAACGCAGGGACTGGGCTATGCCCCTAGGTAGGTGGCTGTGGGAATCCCAGCTAGGATGCCGCAGGATAAAGGACTACCTAGGGCAGTACTTCTACAATTACGGGGCGCCAGCCCCATGGCATAGGCATTTTGCACACCCGTTTCCAAAACCCAGTGGCCAGCCCACTAGAGAGCAGTTTTCTGTGATGGGGATGTTGTTTTTTTTTTTTTTTTTCGGAACCGGGGATTGAACTCAGATCCTTGCGTTTGTCAGTCAAGCGCTTATCCTACTGAGCCATCTCCCTTGCCCCAAACAGGTCAATCCCCTACACCTGTGGCC